AGGAGGACTAATGGAGTGGCTTTTTGATGCAAGGTGGTGTCCTAGTGGATAGCTCTTTTAATTAGGGTGACCTGCTTTAGAGCTGTCATCTAGGTATAATTGTTAATAGCACCCATACTTACACTCAGAATTGTCCCATTTTGATAAGAAATTATATGGTCACCCAAATAAAATGGGGTTAATTCTTCCCTTCCTCTGGCAGGAGCGGCATGGCAGGAAGAGTTTGAGGTAGACTCAGGAGACAGTCTTTCTATTATCAATTTTTTACCTTATGCCTTTGCTGTCACTGTGCAAGAGGCAGAGGATTTCAGTTTTCCAACATGGCATGGCTCAATATATCTGACTCTGGACCATTTGAGTTTGCTAGCTACTGGTAGAAAGGGAATCTTTCAATCACACTGTAATTTTTTCCTCTCTGCTACCACATAGGCCAGTTTCAACATTAGCACGCCTTTTTCTTTGGAACATTTACAAAAACTGTAAGCAGACCAAACTCTCTAAAACCCTGACATTTGTCAATCAAGACCTCTCAAACTCCACCCTGGAAATGTTGGGGTCTGAGACCTTTCACTCAGTTTCTTGGCTACCATATCACAAGAATTTCCAGTTCTCTAGCTTGGCAGAGAGGGATCTTCCCTACTTTCACCACTCCTCAACTCAGCCAATCTTACATTTAAGGATCTGCACTACAGCATCCCACTTTCAGCTGTATAGAACTCTTTTGGCTGCAAGAGATAGAACTTAACTCAAAATAGCTTAAACCCAAAAGGGAATGTTTTGGCTCATGTAACTAAAAAGTCTAAGGGTAACTTGGCTTCAGGCATGATCAAACAAGTCATAAAAATTTGCTTATGCATACATCCCTTCCCACACCCCTTTTCTCAGTTTTGCTTGCTTTAATAGCTTATCCCTCATACAACACTGAATCGGCTAATTGGCGGGTCTTGATCACTAGCTGCCAATGAAGTGGAGGTGAAGATGGGCTCTGCCCTTCTCTAAACCACAAGACCTAAGGGTGGAAATGGGGGTATTTCCCAAAGGTGATGTTACCAAAAAAAAAGGGAAACGGATGCTTGCTAGGTTAAGAAAAACAACAGAGGTCCATCCATTTTATACTTGAAAGCTTAAAAAATGTAAGCAAATCTGTCCAGGCTCAACTCTCTGTTTGACAGATGAGGATGAGAATCATTATTTACTTTGCCTCAAAGTGGTGAAGAAGAAGAAGAAAAGGGCAAGGGTAAATTTTTTTTTAGTTTAAAAATGAAATAAAAATCCACAGGCTTGAAAGTTTAGACTTTCCTGAAGTTGCGGTGTGCCTTTCCAACCTATTGTCAACTTGGAAAAGACTTAATCTTCAACAGTGGAGGAAGCCTCTATTCTTTCCTTTCATTTACTTGTCTGTCACTTTCCCTTGAGGGCCTCAAGGGCAGGAGAGAGCATATGACAAGGAGGAAAGAAATGCCATTTCCTTCTGTTCTCAGACTCTGCGTATCTTAGCTGGGAATGTGCAGTTTGTTCATTTCAATCTCAACATTTTCAACACTAAGTTGCAGGAATTAGTTAATTCAACAAGTATTTGTTGAATAAGAATCCCTTATCCTGTCTCCTCTTTGTTACCCTTTGCTTCTCTCCAAGACTTTTCTCATTGGCATTTAAACATCCCCAAGGCTCTCTCATCTTAAAAACAAGACGCATAAAACTCCCACAAACAGGAAAAATGTCCTTTGATCCCACTTCCTTCTCAGCTACTGCCCCGTTCACAACCAAATTTCACACACTACGTGTCTTCTTTACCGTCTGTATTTCCTCCCTCCCAAGCCTGCCTCCGGCCACTCCTGTCCACTCCTGTCACTCACTGGAACACAAGGCTTATGGAAAGAGCCCCACTTTTAGAGAACACGAACCCCAGTATAAGGCAACGTTATAGTCCTTAAACACCGTGAAGTAATTGTGTGACATCTGTCTTTTCAACTGGAGTGTGGGCTTCTTGGGGGTAAGACATAGCTGGTAGTTACTCAGTAAAATATCTTACTGTTGAATGTTACATGTCTACTCGAGGCATGGAGACTAGCATGAATAAGTGTTAAATAAAACTTTGTTGAAGGAACAAAATAACTGGGATTGGAAACAAAAGGAAGGGATAGGTTTGGAATGGGGTGGAATAATGAGTGAAATAATGAAATAATGAAAGTTTAACTATCCTGAGCTTAAGTTAGAAGCGTAGGAGAAGGGGGAGAGTGTGTTGTATTAAAAGCAAGGCAAAAAATAGCTTCAATGGGCAATGTTACATGTTAAGTGCTACAAGCAAGTATATCATGTTTTTCAAATTGAACACTATTAGAGGCTACTTGATTTGCAAAACAGTAATCAATTCTTTGGGGTGGACATGGGGGAATTAGTTTCACTGGAACGTTACCAGGTTGAGAATGTGAAGGAGCAGTAATTTGTACGGTCCAGAAAATGCAAGGATCACAGCACAATTAATTTAGGTGGACAGTCAACAGAGTGGGCATACAATAGGAACTTTTGGGAGGTGGACAGTCCTATCTGCATGCTTCTCATTAATTCTACATTTTAATCCAGACCATCTTATTCCTGTGGTTAAGGATCTCTAGAGAAAGAGAACTCTAGCATTCTACTAGTGGATAAACTTTACTTACATGTAAGCTAAACCCTTCGCCCAAATGTTTTAATCATATGGATTTAAAATGTGAAATGACAAGTGGAGGTGACAGGTAATTATGACTTTATTTTTTGAAACAGAGTCTCAATCTGTCACCCAGGCTGGAGTGCAATCATGGCTCACTGCAGGCTCAAACTTCTAGTCTCAAACGACCCTTTCACTTAAACGACCGAGTAGCTGGGACTACAGGTACGCGCCACCACACCCACATTTCATTTCCATTTTATTATTTTATTTTATTTTTGGTAGAGACAGGGTCTCACTATGTTGCCCAGGCTAGTCTTGAACTCCTGGGCTCAAGTGACCCTCCCACCTCGGCCTCCAAAAGTGCTGTGAGTACAGGCATGAGCCACCAAGCCCAGACTTTTCTTTTCTTTTTTTTTTTTTTGAGACGGAGTCTCACTCTGTTGCCCAGACTGGAGTGCAGTGGCATGATCTCAGCTCACTGCAAGCTCTGCCTCCCGGGTTCATGCCATTCTCCTGCCTCAGCCTCCTGAGTAGCTGGGACTACAGGTGCCCACCACCACGCCAGGCTAATTTTTGGTGATTTTTTTTTTTTTTTTTTAAGTAGAGACGGGGTTTCACCGTGTTAGCCAGGATGGTCTCGATCTCCTGACCTCGTGATCCGCCCGCCTCGGCCTCCCAAAGTGCTGGGATTACAGGCGTGAGCCACCGCGCCCGGCCTCCCATAGACTTTTCTATCTGATTACTTTTCAAACACATTCTAGAGCATCCTAGAACTTGTCCTTTCCTAGTTCAGTTTATTACATTCTGCTCATGCTCCTGGAGAGAATACAGCTTTTACTCATTTAGTCTCTATGTGGTCCTTCCTTGATTTTCTAAGGGTCTTGAGTCTGTGGTCCCAGAAATAGACAAAAACGTGTTCAGGGCATCATAGACTCTTGCTAGGCTGGAAGTGGAGTACCCCTCTTGTAGCCAATGTCCTCTTCTCCTCACCCTTCCACTTCCCGAAATACACACACTCAATATACAGTGGCCACCACATCTGTTTTGTAGGAACTAAGCTGAATCCTAAAGGTTAATGAAGGAAAGATATGCAGGAAGTCCAGCACTTTCCTAATTCAGCAGCACACACGTTTTCTCATGTCTAATATTTAATTTACGTAATTTATTTTCAATCTCAATTTAATTGCTTTTCTTGAAAAGATGTTTGGGACAAGGCCAACAATGGAGGGAGGAATGTCACCAGGTCGGGATCTGGAAACAATCAGCTCTGTATGGTTTTAAAGATGAAGCGCCAAGATCTTAAGGAACCTGAATTCCTGGTGAGCAATCAAGTTCTTTAATCGGCCCCCAGCAGGATGTCAACGGCTTAAAAGACAAAAAGAAAATCTATTTTAAAAGATAGATTTTATCTTTTTAGATTAATTTTAAAAAAGCGAACCCATCACAAACTTCCCGGTTTTTAAAGAATGGGCCTCTCCCACCGCAGAGCCCTCCCGCACCATGGGACAGCTCAGTGGCAGCGTCCTCCGGCCGCCCGTAACCGGTGCCGCGAGCTCGGAGTGCGGGGCTGGGATCTCGCGCCCTCCGGGGCAGCGGGCTCCATGAGCGCCGCGGGGCGGGGCGTGGGGCAGGACCTGCCGGCCGCTCCCTTCCCCACGGCGCTTAGGGAAGCAGCGAGCGCCTTTCATCCTGTACCGGAGTCCTAGCCTGGCCGGAGCTACCTCCAGGGCGCCCGCTGCTGCGGTGGCAGGAAGTCCCCGGGAACTACAAATCGAGGCATGCTGGGAGCATTCTCCCGCTCCTCCCAGGAAATGTCCTTTGTCCAGCCCTACAGGAAGCCCCAGTGAGGAGTCAGCCGGGCAGCCAGCCAGCGAGCCAGCCAGCAAGCCAGCCAGCCAGCCAGCCAGCCAACCATACAGCGGGCCAGCCAGCGGCCGCTGCAGCCGCCGCCGCCGCCGCCGCCGCACAAGGGCAGACGCGCTGCGGTGCGGGGCTCGGGCCGGGGCGCTCGGTGCCCTAGCTCCTCGCCGCGCCAGCCGCCGCGCAGGTAGGAGCTTAGCTGTGGCTGGGCTCAACCGCCTCTCCGGGATGGGGCTGATCGGGACCAGACCCGACCGCTGCGGGGATGGGGTGTGTGTTCGAGTGCGGTGGCGGAACGGCTGGGCAAAGTTGTGCCTCGTAAAGTGGACCGTTGTCCGCTCCCCTGGGGCGCAGGCCCCCGGGCTTAAGGGGTGCTCTCGCGCCCGCAAAGCCGGGGCTGAGCTCCCTCAGGGGTATGTGGCGAGGGGCGGGAAGGAGGAGGCTGAGACGTGAGGGAGGAGACAGCGATGCAAGAGGGAATAGGACCGTCCCGCCGACCACCGAAGGGGGCATCAGAGACCCTCGGAGAAGCCAAGCCCAGGGAGGAGCTTGGAAGGCAAGGAGAAGGTGAAGGGCTTTGTGTGCAGCTGTGGACCTTGACGGACTGCGCTCTCCTTGCCTTGTCTGTCCGTGTCCCCAGCCCCATTGGGGCTAAGGGAGGGTAGGGGGCTCCGAGAAGGGGCAGAAGAGAAGCGGCAGGTCATCGTGGGTACTAGTGAATGAAATGTGTGCCTCCCTTTTCCTCTCTTCTCCATTCTAGCCCACACAGATGAGCGGCTTTGGGGCTGCCATCAGACCGGGCAAATGACACAATAAGGACGAGTGGGTGGAGAGATGGACAGCAGCTCGCAGCCCAAGAGGGGTCGCCGTCTAGCCCCGGGAGGCATTCCAACCACAAATGTCCATGTCGGCAGGTGGTGGGGTGGTGGGCAAAGCTGGAACCTGAACACTTCACGGGGATGCCGAGGCTCAGGATTGTGCATGGAGGCACGGGTGAGGCGCGTGTTGGGAGGAGTGGGTGAGTAAAAAGGTTGAGGGGGAGCAGCGACACAGAGGCGCTCACCTTATGACCATGCATCGGAAATCGACTACCACTTCCTCTGGGACTTGCCACGATTTTCCTTTTTCCTAACCGCGCCCCCACCGCCCTGCCTCCCCTACAGGAGTGAATCACCCACCCCTTACTACATGAACCCTGGGCTGAATTGAAGTTGGTGATGTATCCCTCTCCTTGTAGCGGGCATGTTTGTCCTTAACCTGTAGGATGACACCAATACTCCGCATCCCCTACTGCCTTACCCTCCTCCCTCAGGACTGAGCATCTGGTAAATGCGGTCGGTCGGATAATGGCTAGCAAGTTAAATGTCTTTGAGGAGCTGCGGTGGATGAGTGGGCAACTTTGAACACAGTCCAAGTGTGACTGTTGTAACTGAACTCAGCATGCCTAAGGGGCCACACTCACTATCTCTCCTTTCTCCCCTTACCTGAGTTTTTGTTGATGTTCCCAACTGTTTACCTTCTTCTCTCAACAAGCCAACATGTGGATATTATTTAATGTGGAATATGTTTGAGGAGCCAAATGGACCTTTAAGAATGCCACTTATGTGGCCAGGCAGGAGTATGCAAGGCTCATGGTTGGAAGAATGATGCTGTAGGGCATGGAGAGAGCCCTGAGCCTGATATAAATGGCTTTCGAGGAGAAACAAAACATTTCTTCCCTGGCTTCTTTAGGAGAGATGAGGCATTTGAACTGAGATAAAGAATGGGATTGAGAAAAAAAACAACAACAACAACCCAGTTCTTTAGGATGAGGGCATGAGGATAATGAAGTGAAGGGAAGAGGCTCTGTGAATTCAGATGATTTCTAGTTAGAACATATTGGCTGTGTGTGTGTGTGTGTGTGTGTGTGTATGTGTGTATGTTGGAAGTGGGGGTTGTTGTTAAGGGAAGGTTGATGTCAAAAGTTCAGCCATGCTCAACAGAGAATAAGATGGCATCTGATTGAACAAGATCATAAATGTGAAGTCAGGCTGCCCTTTACATTACACAAAGGAACACATAGATGGCCTTTCAGAACTACTGGGATAGAGGGGTCAATGGATGCTAGTCAGACAGAAGAACCAGCTGATGTGGCTGGATTGAAGTGGTAAATGATGACCTCACATCAGAGCATGACTAAGGCTCATGGAGTTGCATCACATTTCCTCTCCCTCCCCCACCAAAAACTCTTTGAATTTCCTCAGAATCTACATTTTTTCTTTTTTGCCTAATTACTAGTGTCCTGTGAAAGGAAGGAGAAAGGGTAAAGGTTGGTTGCAAGGATGATAAACTAAGGCAAGAAGGAGCTTGTCTGTTATGTAGAAAGAAAAAAATAGCTGTAGTGTCAGTAAGAGTTCTGGAGCTTGAACCTATGTCAGTAGCATATGGGCTTTTCTTTGTATCTAAGATCCTACTTCTTCTTTCTTTTCTTTCACCTGCCCCTTAACAGGTTTCTCAGTACCACACACTATGTAGAGTTAATATAATCAACAAAAGTAACTCCTTACTTTGGGATTTAAAATTCTTCACAATTCAGTGCCTACCTACCTCTGTCCTTCATTGGACCTGCCCACCCCAATTTACCTCCCCATCCTTGGAGCAAATAACTCCCCAATCCTTGAAGATGCAACAGACATTCTTGAACCTCTGTGACTGCCAGGTTGAACCCCATGCTTGCTGGACATCCCTGCACCTGTCGCTAATTATTTTTGGTACATATCCTGGCCCAGTTGATTAGCTCCCTTATAGAACTCTTGCCAACCTTTGCAGTCAAAATTAATCTTACCCCTTGGTAATTTGTATTATTTCAATGACACCTGCTTTAGGAGTTAATACCTAACAAGTGCTCAAAGGATGTTTGACTTGAAAACACGAATAAATCAAAGAATGAGTGAAAGGATGAAAAAAATCTTAATTCTCTTGCCTTTCCTTAGAAAAGGGGATGGAGCCTTTCTCATAGACCTGTGAGGATTCATTGCAATTGTGAAAATAAAGCATCTAGGACATGCCAGACTGAGTCTTTTCCTTTTGCTCCTGGATTGAGAGACCCTGAAAGTACCTATCATAGTGTCTAGTACAAGGACACTGACAAAAAGTTTGTTGAATAAGTTCTTTGCCAGCCTACATTTTAAACTCTCAGGCAGAATATGGAGTGGATTAATCCCAAGCAAATAATCAACAATGTTTGTCATTATCCTAGACTGAAGAAGGTAACTGTTTCCATTCAATTATGAAAGTGCAAAGTGCTCATTACAAAAGCAGCACTACGAAGACTGTCCTGCTATTGGCAAGTAAGCCAGACATTTACCATGTCATTTTTATTTTTATAGCCCAAGCAATGTACCAGGATTAAAATGTAGCATATAGAAATAGACAACAAATCAGACTTTCAAACTTTCCCCAAAGACACTACAATTTAATAGTCCCTCAGTTATCTCGAACTGGGCAATTTTTCATGCTTCTTTTTATGTGATTACAATAATAGTTGCCACTTATTGAACATCTGTATATCAGCTACTAAACTAGGTGATTTACATGTTTATTCTGATGACTTATTTAATCTGATGACTTACATATTGTTATCTCTATTCTAAAAATGAGGAAACTAGGGCTTGGAGAGAAGGTAAGAAACTTGCCTGGAGTCCCAGATTCTGAACTGAGTGTAGATTGGAATTGAGGTCTGCTGACTGCCAAGCCTGTTCAGAATTTGCTTTCCATGGGAGAAAACGGACAGTTCTTTATTCCTTCTTCTCCTGAAGTCCTTCACTTCCCAGATTTCCTACCAGTCACATTGTTGTGCTTCTGAAATCATCCTAATGGATCTTATTCTGAGAAGTACTGTTTTTTTCATAGATTTGTTATTTTTATGTCCTCAAACTCTCATGACCATCAGTTGGAAAGGCCAGGTTCAGAACCCCTAATAAGACCTTTGGGTACAGAACTGTGTGTGTTTGGAATTCTTTTCTTTTTTCTCCCAGCCTGTCTGAATTCCTCTTGCCAGGCCAAGTCTCACTTCTTTTGGGTAGCCTTTTTCAACTACACCACGCCACCCTCAGCCTCTCCCCTAATCTCTTGCATTGTTTAAAATTCTGCAGTTCAGTGTTTTCTTAATGAAAGTAGACTTGAGTGGGTTCCCACACGTGACAGGGACTTTATGTCCAGAACACGACCTGGCATATGGTAGACTTTCAGAAACTGAGTTAATGATGAATTGGTATTGACTAAAATGCAGAAATGGAGGCATGAAATATTATTTGCATGTTGATAGTTTGCTTATATTGTAGAAGAGGGATAGAAAGAGAGGATAATTATTTTCTTAGTTAATTTTCACCCTTTTCATGTAACTTCCAAAAGAGGAAAGTACCTTCTGGAAATATGCCAGAGCAGACCACTGTAAGGTGAGTTTTCTTAGCTTGACTAACATGGGCACTGAATGATTTATAGTGTTTAATGATTTTGGGTAGTGGGGTGAGGCATTGTTTAGTACCTTTCCCTTTGCTGCCATGCCAAATCTCTCAGATGTCATGCACATCTGAGAAAATCAGAGGGGCTTCACTGGCTGCACTTACTGGAGGAAAAGAAGGCTGGGGAGAGGAAGGAAGATAATTCATTCTGTTTTCATCAGAGCAGCAAGATTTGTGTGGGGCACAGATTTGGCATTCATTTCATCATGTATTGATAAGGGATGGTTGAAAGATCAGTAGCTTCTCCTCTTTGGGTGGAAGAGGGTTTCACCTATCACAAGATTGAACCCATTTATTTAGGTTGACTAAACGTTCTTTTTCTCTGACCTCAAGGGTGCACAGAATTTTGAAAGCCCTGGTATAAACACAGCGTGCTGTGGGTTGTTATAAGCACATTAGTCATGTTAAAGGAGAATAGGACAGTCCTTGGGATCACTGAATCTATTCAGCAAGTCATGTTTTGTGCATCCCTAGACCAGCAACAGTGTTCCAGCAGGTGTGTGGGAGGGTCACATGCGATACTTCAGGTTTTTCCTTCCTGTGGAGGCTAAATTTGCTATGGGTAGTTAAAGGGAAAGGGCCTACTTTTATTCAGAGAGCTACTTCAGATATACATGGTCTTCTGAGAAGTTTATCAGGATCTTACCATAATTATAAAAGAGGAATAAAGTTTCTGGGTTTTATTTGCTAAGAAACGTTTTGCTTTGGCTCATCACCTCAGAGCTATTTCATGTGCTTAGCACATCTTTGATGTTTGATGAAGTTTAGCAGGGCACTATAGGAAGACTTTTCCAGTTGTTGAACTTTTTTGTCCCCCATACCTGGGAACTTTTGTGAATTTCAAAGAATCACTTTATTTTTGTTTTGCTAGTTTTGAAAATAATCCTTCAGGCAGGTACTGACAATGATTTCTGATAATAGAAGGTGGTTTAGAAAGTAGAGGTGGTTTAGAAGGTGGTTTAGAAATAGAAGATAGAATAGAAAGTTCATTAGAATGTAATCTCTACAACAGAGAATCTAGAATAATGGGTAGTGCATGGTAAGGGTTTGATAAATATTTGTTGA